TTCTTTGCGCACCTACGGGTAAAGCAGCATTCGGAATAGGTGTAATGACCCTTCATTCAATATTCTTTTAACCTGTTAATCAGTTAAATAGAGAGTTGAAGCCTCTTAGCAATTACACAGTTAATTCATTGTATTCCAGACTTATCGATTTAAAATTAATCATAATTGATGAAATATCGATGGTAGGTGCTCGTATATTTAGCTCTGTTGATGCGAGATTTAAGCAAATTTTCAAAACAGACAGTCCCTTCGGTGGTATACCGATCATCGTGTTTGGTGATTTGAAGCAACTGTCACCTGTTGGAGATAGGTGGATATTCTCTCCTAATCCCAATGATGTATGAACTTTGGTTGGTTCCCCTTTGTGGGAGTTATTTGAATACTTTGAATTAACAGAAATAATGAGACAACGGGAGGATCAGGCCTTTGCAATTGCATTAAAACATATGGCATCTGGTACTATGACAAATGAGGACATATCACTCATTGAAACTCGAGTAGTTAATTTCGAAAATATATGATTACAGTGAATATAAACACGTGTGATGGCTTGGTTAATGGGGCAGCTGGACAACTTATGCATATTGATTTCCAATGTTCCGTTCCAACAATTCTGTGGATTAAATTTTTGGAACCTTCTGTAGGTTTGATAGCACGATCAAAAAAGCCTCATCCTCTAGAAAGTTCTTGGACACCAAATGAAAAAGTTCTAAAATCTTTTCAATATAAAAGAAATGAACAAATTTCAATTGAAAGAAATCAGTTTCCAGTTGTTCCGGCTGAGGGAATAACTATTCATAAAAGCCAGGGTGCCACATATTATATAATAAAGTTGTAGTTCATACTCGACCCGGAATCCCTAGAGCTTCGATATATGTCGCTTGCAGTCGAGCTACTACTGCAGAAGGTCTATTCATCACAGGAAATTTTATTCCTCCTAACAAATTTTCTGAATCGGATCCTGTATTTAGGGAACTGAGGGAATTGAACACAAATAAAGCTCTGACAACAAGTTTCAATTTTATGATTTCCCGAACATCAGAACATCAAATTTTATTCCATAATGTTCAGAGTCTTCACGCTCACATTAATTATATAAAAAGCGACTGTTTGATGCTATCTTCAGATATTTTATGTTTTGTAGAAACTTGGAGTTATCCATGCGAAAATTTTGATATACCAGGATTTACTCCAATTAACGAGCTGAGGATATGTACCACGGAAACAAGCAACAGAAATAAACGGGGCATTATAATATATGTATGTAGAGCATAGTATTGACAGCTCTATAGAACCAAAGATTGTAAAGAAAATCTATTCAGGCCGCAAAGTTTTAGAAGCGGTTTTGTTTAAATGCTTCAGTATTAATATTCTGGTTCTATACAGAAATTCAGCTTTCTCTGTTAGACATTTAATTGTAGAACTTCAGGAAGTCCTTACTTCTGAGTTATGCAATGAAAATGTGCTAATTGTTGGCGATTTCAACCTTTGTTTAATGTCTACGGGAAATTCAATAGGAAATCTGCTCCAAGAAAAAAACTTTAGTTCCCTGCTTGGTGTAGAATATTCAACTACACCTGCCGGTACACAAATTGATTAGGCATTTTCAAACATGGATCCTTCCCATGTTAATGCAATTACTTTTGAGACAGTACACAGCTATCATGACAGTATTTGTGTCTCTATTTCGAACTAAAGTTTTTAGACTTAGTGCAATAGTTCTTCATTTTTTTTTCCAAATATAGTAGTAATAGAATTAGAATGGTATAGCAATTTTGATAGTAGTTTTTAAGACAATTTTAAGAAAAATATGTAAATAATCTAACTAAGAAAATTTAAATTATATGTATAGTTTGTTATTATATAAGACATTATTGTATAAATATATGATAGAAATTAAATAGTATAGGGAGAAAAGAACTATAATTTGGATATATGTACAAGAATCTGTATAAAAGTTTATGTTTAATATTGTAAATATTATATACAGATTAATATAATAATATAATTTTTAAAAATGTTAATATTTATTATTTTTAAGCTAAACATGTATAATAATATCGATAAAATAAATAAAAAATGTCAATCAATGTCTAAAAACGATTTATTTTCATACTCCTCAATACAGTTGTAATTCATTCTATATAAAATATATTATAAGCGTATACAACAAAACACAAGAACGATTGCTCTACTTGTAATTATTATATATAGGTTATATTTATATAAATGATCAGGTGAAGAGACGAGTTGAAATCCGGGTGACTGTCTCTCCGTACGTCCGTCTGTGCAAGCTGTAACTTGAGTAAAAATTGAGATATCTGAAATGATGATGATGATGGCACTTGGTACACATGTTTCTTGATACCGTAAGACGGTTGGTGTTGCAGATGGGCGTAATCGGACCACTGCCACGCCCACAAAACGCCATTAATCAAAAATAAATAAATTGCCATAACTAAGCTCCACAACAAGATACAGGACTCTTATTTGGTATACAGGATCACATTAGGGAGGGGCATCTGCAGTTAAAAAATTTTTAAAGTGGGCGTGGTTCCGCCCCCTAATAGGTTTAATGTGCATATCTCCTATACCACTGAAGTCATAATAAAAAAAATTCATTGGGAACAAATGCTTTTAGCATCTCTATCGACGGTGTGAAAATGGGTGAAATCGGGTGACAACCCCGCCCACTCCCCATATAACGGTACTGTTAAAAACTACTAAAAGCCGGATAAATCAAGCACTAAACAAGCCAGAGACATTAAATTTTTATCTTTAGGATGGTATGAGATGACTTTATAGGAACCGCGCTGAAAATTAGACAGTAGGTGTGAAACCGCCCATTTTTAGGTAAAACCCATATCTTGGGATCCGCTTAACCGATTTCAACCAAATTCGGTGCATTACATTATTTTCATATTTCTATGTTATAGTGCGAAAATGGGCGAAATTGAACTACAACCACGCCTATCTCCCATATAACACCATTTTAAATTCCATCTTATTCTTTCACTTTCCACTATGCAAATCAAGAAACAATGATTGTATCCGGGTAAAACTTTGCGTGAATAATGGGTTTAAAGTATGCCACCTTGTGGACAAAAATTCTCTAAACTGTTCAATCCCCTAGGTACTGAATATGTGGACCCCAGTGCATATAGTTGACTTTTTACCGAAAGTATCGGTCAACATAGAACAAGGCGGCAAGATTCACAAATAAATCTAAAACGAGTATACCATTTTACTTTGCGATAGTATAAATGTCCTTGCAATGGTCAAGAGTAGCATTTTGACAATCGGCGCATCACGATCCTTCTCTATGATATACGTTCTCTATCTTTGGTTCAGATATATCAATCAGTGTTGCCACTTGAGAAAATCTCCGGGGACCAAAATGCCTACCAAATCTGTTGCAATATTTTCTAATTTTTTTATTAGCAAAACATTGGGTTTTCAGATCACATTTGGAAAACATGTACATACAAATGACCTTAGAGTCAAGAACTATCTGAGCGGTCAGCAATCATCTGTACTGTTTTGAGGTCAAGATATTAGGGGTCGTGTCCTCTCCCAGCTACTTTTTAACTTCAATATCTCGAAACTCCCTCAATCACCATAGGGAATTTCTATCATCTCATATACAGATGATTGTAGGATTGACTTCAGACAATGAAATCGATGACATGTGTTCGAAACTATAGATATCTTACCGATCTTTATCGCTTCTTTTCTGCAAAGAACCAAATACTTTCCCCCACTAAGTCCAGAGCGACCACATTCCCGAACTGGACGATAGAGTACAGACTGGATCGTAATATCAATTCAAGGCCGGTAGCAAGCAGCTCCTGGGGAATAAAGAAACGTTCTTCGCAATATGCGAAGCAATCGGTCGGCGGGTCAATGCACCCATTTCGTCGCCTGGATGTAGTGAAACGCAAGCGAAGAAGCTCCAGACGTACCAGAATACTGCTCTCCAAACAATTACATAATGCCTCTTGATGTCTCCTGTCGAACACCTACATAGTGAGGCCTGTATTCTATTCCTTGTAGTGAAACGCAAACGAAGAAGCTCCAGACGTACCAGAATACTGCTCTCCAAACAATTACATAATGCCTCTTGATGTCTCCTGTCGAACACCTACACAGTGAGGCCTGTATTCTTACGGTCAAGGAAAATAATACACTCTACTCCAAGCAGCTTCTGCAGGGAGATTTTTGGCAAACAGTACGCCGAGTCTACGGATGCCACAAACTTCAGACACGCACTGACCGCCATTCTCAGTGGAGCAATCGACTATTTCCCAGTGATTGGCGTACTTGGAGTCAAACCAACACCGAAAACAGATGAAGAGCTCGAGTTGCCCCGAGAATCTAGAGTAACCCTTGTGCAACTTCGTTCTAGATACTGTAGCTGGTTAAAATCCTACTTATGCAGAATAGACCCCGAGATACTAAATATATAACCTGAGCGCAATGAGTGACCGCACGACTTTAACGACCTCTTTGCATTATCAATGAATCCCAACCTCCATAAGGTCCGACTCCGCCGAAACAGCTCGTTTCCTGGATCCACCGTTAGATGGCTTCGATGACAACTAACTTGAACCCTACCACCTTAGTGGGGTTAGATACCCCCATTGTTAAGTTGTTAATGCTTACTACAGTACTAGGTACTTCATTGTTGTAAATAAAAAAAACACAGTTTAAAAGTATAATTGTAACAATTATTTACAGTAAACTGAATTATTTACTGCCCATGAGCCTTTTTTTCTTTAATTTAATGGTAAATTATTGACCATCTCCATCTATATTAAACAGTTTCAATTATAGTTAGATCTCTCAATTTACACACATTGAGCAGATGGCTCTCATTCATGACTATTTTTTAGTAAATATGTATAGCAACCATGAAAGTATGCACTTTTAAGCAAACAAATCTTAAGATTAATTTACGTTCTAAATATATCTGATAAAAAATATTGCCTACCAACCAAACGACCAAAGGCAAATTAAACTATCAATTTTGGTCCGATCGGATCAAAACGGCAACGCTGATTTTAATATAATCCAACGAATAAAATTGCAATTAACCTCTGCAGCTGAAATGGGTAAACAATTTAGTAGAAGAAAGCACCGAAAAATATTTTTAGTTCTGTTATGATAACTGACAACGAATTTATTTTGGCGATTAAGTTATATCCCGAGCTTTATCAGATTTATAAAGATGGTGGAATTGATGCTGAAGCTAAGAATAAAGAGCTGTGGTCGCAATTTGCCCGAGACAATCAATACAAAAACGGTGAGGTCGCAAGTGTATGTTGATAGATGCGTTGAAATTTATAGTTATATTTTTAATTTCCAGGTGCTACAGCAGAGCTAAAATGGCGCCAAATAATTTCAAAATATGTATCTTTTCTGATGTACGGCACTCCATTCCCTTTTGAACGGGAAATGCAATTTATGCAGATGCCACTGCTTGGTGTTGGGTAAGTCCTTAAAAATAAAATTGTTAGATGATTAAGAAATTTTATGACGATTTTTTTTCTAGACTAGAAGATACACAATTTGACTCCGATATTGACGAGACAGAATTAAGACAAGTTCTAAATCTTTTTGAGGAGTTTCCAACTGATGTTAAAAAACAACATATGACTTCTGCAATAGACAGAGAAACCTCAAAGAAGCTTGCCCAAACCAAAATGCAAGGAAATAAATTAACCAGTAAACAAAACGGATTGAACACGGCTAAGACGGAAAATGTATCAACGGCTATTACAGCAACCACTCATGCAAAGGCAGTTACTAAGTCCAGTGAAGACGGAGGCGCTTCCGGGGGTTTCTCAAACCTGACTTCACTGGAACTTATTTTTCTCGGTTATGCTAAAGTATTGCAACGAATGCCATTACGTTTGCAGCTACAGACTAAACGGAAAATCGCTGATATTATGGATGAGGCAGAATTGAAATTGTTTGAAGGAAACTGAAATGATGCAAAAAATAAAGTTTTAGTTTGAAAATGATTTCATTGCTACTTTTATTGTTGAAATTTCGACGACTGATGGTCCTGCGTTATCGGACCTCAAACAGCTCTTTTCCGGTGATCTCATTGTGGTAAGATCGGTAAACTATATATATATATATTAGATAGTGCAAAAAAACATCAACATTTCCTTATTCTGTGTTTAAAGCACACACAAAAACTTTCGCTATCAGTATTGAATGAATGCTGTTGTTGTTGCGGCAGAATTCTGCCGAGTTGACAGTCCTTGCCGGAATAAATCCGGGCCCGTTCCGGTTACGTAGACCCGATTGTCGTGGGAACGAGTATTGTCAGTATTGAATGAATCGTTGGTGATCGTGGTTTCTCCAAGATTATTATGTCTCCTGTGATGAATGTGCTTGTCGTTGATGAAAACGTGCAATGCATGCAATGAATCCGCGCAAGATTCTTTGTATGTTCAGCGAACACCCCTCTCCCTATGGACCGACCCCGTTGAAATAGCACGTTTCCTGGTCCTATCGTTAGATGACAACCAACCTGAACCTTCCCTGCAAGACGGATATCTGTTAGCAATCGTGTTATCTACTTGTTATTGTTGACTCGTGTATAATAAAAAATTTTTTTACTTTTGTTCTATCCAATTAAAATTATGGCAGGTTGTCTCTTTCTCTGCTACCTCTTCTACATATGTGTACCCCATTGGTTTTGTTTTGGTTAGCAGTATGGCATATATTGGTTACTGAATAGATAGAAAATAAGGACTCACTTAGCCCCACCACATTGATAAATTCCAAAATGCTGCTAGGTGCTAATGAGGCGATCTAATTCCTATTCGGAAACATGGATCCAAGGGCCTTGATTTAACGTCTGCAAACTGTTGTGCAGTCTGTTAGAAGGTGTTCTTGGGTTTTGTGATATTGGAACCGGCAGTTTGCACCAGAGGTCACGGCCATGTTGCATAAATACTTTTTGAGTTTGCAATGACTGGGTTGAGATTACCTTCCCTCTGTCAAACCCTTCTGCTGTCATCTGACGCATTGTATGTTTGGCTGCTTGGTTGATTACTATGTGTAGCGGAGTGATATCAAGCTGCCGTCGGGTACGTACGCATTGCCCCCGACGCGCGAATGCATCTGAAGGGAGTTTTCGAGGGGTTGATTTTCAATCGACTGCACCATGAATTTGCCAGGCCTAATTCCCTTTGTACGATGTCACAGAGAGTGTCTAGAATTTGCCCCTGGCTAAAATAACAATGTCATCCGCATATCCTTGACAACGACTCCCATTGTTAGTTAGCAGCTCAAGTAGGTCATCCACGACTAGGTTTCGTAGGGGGTAGGGGGGTAATAGGGGGATAGCACTCCACCCTATGAGGAACCTCTTGTTGTGCCGAGACGAATAGGTGGCTTGCTGGGATGCTAGCCCTTAAATCATCTTTTTATTCTTGACTTGGTTGCCATTGCATGTGATTTCAAATTCGTAAGTATAGACAAATTTTAAAATAATGTACAAATTATTAAGTTTAACAATTTTTTTCACTTTAGTTAGATGTTGGATGTGTTAGAAAAGTAAGTAGATTTCAAAGGGAAAACTATCGATAGTATTTTTTAAACTATGGATAGTAATGTGTGAGGCTCAATGCTCGTCAAAGATTGTGGATATAAACATGATTTTTGCTGCAATATCGCAGATGGGGAAAGAAATGTCAACGCAAATGTCGATACAATTTAAAGAGCAGGATACACGTATGTCTCAAATGGAAACGCGATTGTCAACGCATTTGGAAGATCAGTTTGTAGCGCAAGATGCACGTATATCAGCACAGGTGTCCTCACAGTTGAAAGAGCAGGATGCACGGATATCGCAGGGGACCTCACAAATAGCAGAAGTGTTCTCACAGATTTCGGAAGAGCGGGATAAAATTAAAACTGAAGTGCATGAATTGAGAAATCGTCTCCGTGAGCTACAATTAAGTCAGCTTCTGCCAAGGTAAAACCGCCATTCTTTGATGGCACTGTTCCGTTCCACGTTTTTAAGCTTCAATTCGAAAAGACGGCATCTTCAAATAATTAGAGCGCTGAAGATAAAGTAGCTGCATTGTTCGTTGCATTAAAAGGATCTGCAGCGGAGATTTTACAGACCATTCCAAACTGAAAGACGAGTAGTTAGGAAACGTTGATGGGTGCAATAGAAAGACGGTATGGTAGTGAACAAAGGTAGCAGATCTTTCAAATGGAGTTGCGAAATCGCCGCCTGAAAGCCAATGAGTCGTTGCAGGAGTTTGCTACAGAGATTGAGAGGTTAGCTCACTTAGCTTATGCACATAAATCCATGGAATACATCGAGGACACGAAAATTCAGACTTTCGTCAATGGAATACAAGATAACACTACACGCTTCGCTGCATTAGCATGTCCAAAATTAACGTTTGCAGAAACAGTTTCGTATGCTCTGACACAGGAAACTGCATCTCTGCTTTGCAATCAAACATTTAAAGCTCACAAAGTAGAAATAGAGGAACACACTTGGGGGAACAAATTACTTGAAAAAATTGACAACATGCAGAAAGCACTGGACAAATCTACGGAAACGCATACGAAAAATGATGGTGTGCTTAAATGCTTCAACTGCGGAAAAAGTGGCCATATTGCACGCAACTATAACAAGATAGATGTCCGATTAATGACTTTAACATCAGACTGGGATCCGGAGAAGCTACGGAGATGTCAGCAAGAGGATCCAGATTTGAAAAGTGTAATATATGGATTGGAGATGAATAAACGTCCAACGAGAGAAGAAATAGCTGCAGAAAGCCCAGTCGCAAAGGCTTATTGGGCACAATGGAATAGTTTGAAGTTAGTGTCTGGTTGCTTGCATCGCGAAAGCGAATATGAGCAAACTTCACGAGCTCTGATGATTGTTCCAAAAGTAAGAATTCCTGAAGTTCTCAACGAGCTGCACAACGGTCCAAGTGGACACATGGATATCAATAAAACCTTGGAGAAATTAAAACAAAGATTTTATTGGGCTGGTTGTCGTCAATCAGTTACGGAGTGGATCGCCAATTGTGTCGAGGGCATTGCTGCTAAATGGCCGCGGTCCAGAAGTCATGGTCAGATGAAGCAGTACAATTCAGGTGCGCCGTTTGAGCGAGTAGCCATGGATGTAGGTGGTCCATTTCCTATCAGTAAATTATTAATCAGATATGTTTTGGTAGTCATGGACTATTTCAGCAAATGGCCAGAGGTATACGCAATTTCTAACCAAGAGGCAGGAACAGTAGCGGATGTATTCATCAACAATTGGGTATCGAGATATAGTGTTCCAATAGAATTACATTCTGACCAAGGGAGAAATTTTGAATCAGCTCTAATACAGGAGATATGCCAGAAGCTGGGTATCCGGAAAACCCGTACAACTGCACTACATCCGCAGTCCGATGGCATGGTAGAACGATTCAATCGAACTTTGGAAGAACATTTGAGGAAAGTTGTGGACAAGTATCAATAAGATTGGGATACTCATATATCCTTGTTTCTTATTTGTTGGCTTATCGGTCTGCTGTACATGAAACAACGGGGCAGACTCCAGCAAGGGTAATTTTTGGTAATGATCTTCGACTACCGATTGATTTAAAATTTGGAATTAACGCCAACGGAGGAGGGAATACTAAGGAATTCAATAGCATCCTAGAAGACGAGATGAGGGATATACATGCTATGGTGAGACAGCCCACCTAAAATAATGACCGATAAGATGAAAATACGACAAGGCAATAAACTATGAGGGTTTTATTGAAGGCGATTGTTATATAACTCACAACGGAAGAAAGGGCTGTCTCCCAAATTACAGTGTAATTGGGAAGGACCATACCAGGTTATTAAACGACTCAATGATGTAGTGTATCGCATACAGACCATTGGAAGACCAAGGAATAAAATTAAGGTGGTTCATCTGGAACGGCTTGCAGCGCTTGGTACCGCAAATATGTCTAATCGGGACGATCAGAGTTATGTAGCATTGTATAAATCTACAAGTAACCAATCCCAAGATTTTCACTAATACACACGCAAAAATATCCCACTTGGTACGGGTTGCCAACCAATATTCTGCTACTAAAGTCTCACTTTGTACGGGTTGCCAACCAATAATCTACTACTAAAACGTCCAAATGACAGAAATATGCCATAGTGTGTTGCCGTGTTACGTTTTAAAATTTATAATTATAAGAATGTTTTTGTTCCATATTCAAACATTTTTCGGTTGTTTTAATTCCTAAAGATTAAATTTACATAGTATTATTTAAATTATTATTTATTTTTTATAACATTTGCCAATCGTGCCACTGTCGAAAGAAAATGTATTGGGTATTATAAAAAAAACTTTTGGGTATTTTGTATTTCAATATTATTAGCGAAAATGAGAGAGTCTCGTATCATGTCATGTTGTTGTTGTTGTTGTAGCGACAGAATTCTGCCGAGTTGACAGTCCTTGACCGGAATAAATCCGGGTCCGTTCCGGTTACGTAGACCCGACTGTCGTGGGAACGGCGTATCATGTCATCCTTGGTACCGGTCATTGTATAACAGCCCAAACAGTCACCGACATTCCTTCCTTCCGTCCGTCAGCTTATACGACCTATCTTATGAGAGCGCAATGTAAAAGAACAGTCACCACACCGTAGAAACGAGTGAGCTGAGAATGAGGGAGTAATCTCTGGCAACGCAGGGTTGCCAATCTCGATATCATGTAGTAAATAAAAAAAAAATTAAAAAACTTGAATATATTTGAAATAATCTTAAAATAACAGTCGAATACAATTATTTATAACTAGGTAGACTATTTTTAATAGTTGGATTTTAGTTTTGAGCTTTTACACTATGAAAAACTATAACTAAAAAACTTAATGTGTGAAAAATCGTGTATACAACTAGAACAATGGCAACATTTGTGAAATGAAAACAAAAGAGAACAACTGATTTCTGCGTTTCAACTACGGGTATAACTTTTAACATATTT